TATATATGCTATCTTTTTTTTTTACTATAATCATTGCGTAGTCACTTTATCTTTTCATCGGCATCCACACCATTGACTTCAAGTAGATTTCGAACAGCTCCATCGACACAATTCAAGGTCATATGCTTTGGATCAAACTGTAGTATTGTTTTAAGGTATATTACAACGGTACCGTACTCTGGGATTCCCTCTTTAGTCCAATAACTTCAAGGTCGCCTTTCTAAAAAAACGACCATGGTTAGATTGGTACCCGGGTTTGATAATCGAAAAGTGACACCTGTAACCCCGCTGTCACGCTCCTCAATTTTTCATATATATATATATATATATATATATATATATATATATATATATAAATATATTTTACGAACTTGTAGCATATAGATGAACCACGGGTTTTAAAAAAAGGAAAACGTGGGAGCCTTTCTCGGTCTTTACTCAGAAATGGAAGCAACACAATATATATAAAGATAAAGCCAAGAGAATCAACTTATCTGTCAGTCGAGTCGATATTTCCACACAAAATTCTGATTGGCCGAAGCGAGAGTTCTTATGCTACAACAATATTTTGGTCGTCCAGCAATTTTCATCGGTTCCTTTTCTTTCGGGAGTGTTCGGGGTCCACAGCATCTCGTACAGGCGTTTCATTGGGTCGGTTCAGTTTCATAGCCGTCCTTTCATATCTAGTCGACAGACTTTGCCGTCTTCTTCATTTCAGTGGACAGTCCATTTGGAATCGGGACGAGTTACCCAGCGACGTTCATCGGCCACTGGTCAGACGGAAAATGAAAATCCTTTTTTTTTTTTTTTTTGCCCTCGTGACAGTTACGTGGGTTCTCTTCGTCCTTGACCGAGTACGCAGGAACATGGGTCGCAAATCACGTGTTTGTGTGATGGCCAAAATTTCAATCAACGCTTAGTTGGGTGTGATCACGTGAATCGCAGCAGGAGATCCTGATGGTGGCTGGAATTCATTTATGGTCAACCGCATGATAGCTGCGAAATTATGGAACCAGGTCATTCTCGCGTCGGGTCGCTTCAAAGTTCACCGGTGGAAGAGTAGGTCAAGAGGAAAAGAATTTGTGAGAAGAGGAGGGTATGGCTGATGATGGAACATATTCACTCGCAAGTAGAAAGCATTGGATTTTATCCATTTTTATTTACTTATTTGTTTTTATATCTAACTAATTTTCGACTAGAATTTCATATTTTTCTTTGGAGTACATTTTAGCCTTATCCCTATGTGGTTGATGAAATCGTGGCTACGTCACAATATATATATATATATATATATATATATATATATATATATATATATATAGTTTTAACATATAGACAAAACTATTTAACTCACTACAAAGATGCAACTTGGTTTCAGTTCATTTCAACTGCATTTCGACGGGTGAGAATCGAAAATGGTTATGAAAAATCCTACTTGTAGGCAAGCCGTGTGTGTAACGTCACTTCCTTTTTTCTATTTGTTTGAGAAGAAAAATATACATAAAAAATAGGTGAGGAAGTGAAACACTAGTGCTTGTTGATAACAGTTTGGTGAAGAATGGATTGGGTGTTTAATGTTGATTGGTCTGTGGAAATTTTTTTTTTTTTTGCCGATAAACACCGGTCAAAAGTTTAGGCACATCATCTCACAAGCGTCCTAAGAGTGAGAGGTAGGGGAGGAAAGATGGCGATAGGGGATATTATTACGTTTGAGTAGGTAAAAATTGTAGCGATACTTCTAGTAGTAATTAGGAATGTTATTTCTTGGTTTACTATAAAAATTCTACTAGAACCATCGCTACAATTCCTTTGTGCATAGTGAACATAATTTATTATCATATTTATACTTAGAACATTTCTTTAATATGTCCTATTTCAAAATCGGGTTTTTATTATCGTCTTCTTTAATTGTTAAAATTAAATTGATTTAAAGTATCTTCCTAAATTTTCGCTTGAGGATGAAACAGGGCTTGAGACTTTAACTCAATTTAATTTTAATAATTATATCTCATTTTTGAAACATGAGAACTCTTATGTGGCAGAAGGAATCATATATTTTAAAAAATAATTATAATATATATATATATATATATATATATATATATATATATATATATATAATAAATAAATAAATAAATAAATAAATAAATAAATAAATAAATAAAAAATGAATGTCCGACAATTATTTAATATATTTTCTGTTAATACGTTAGTTTAATAGATACAATTTATTTAAGTATGCACTATTATTTTTTAATAAATAGTATTAATTATATTCAACGGCCTGAATGTTCAAGAAATTTCTGATGAAAATATGTGCTTCTCCGACAGGAATCGAACCTGTAACCGCAAAGGGAAACTTTTGATCTGACGTGGTGTTAACGATTCAACCACAGAGAAGCGACTGGGTAGCAAAGTCCGAATTACTGTTTATAAACAACAAATCTTCGACGATATTTCTCGAACAAGCATATCTGCTAACGGAACCTACCTTAACGTAAACATTGACAACATATTATGAAATTAATTAAGTCCGGGAATTTGTTTAATGTATTTTCTGTTTATTATTTATATTGAGGTTTTCAGCTCTCGTTTTTGAAACATGAGAACTTTTATGTAGCGAAGGAATCATATCTTTTAAAAAATAATTATAATTTAAGCTCTACTTCTGTATGGAGCACTGTTTTTTTTTGTTGTTTTTTTTTAAATAAAAAAAAATAATAAAGAACTTCGGATTATTTACCTAACGTGTTCTTTCCTATTTTTCTACATATCTGCACACACACACACCCACAACTAGCCAAACACCCACCCATACACACACACACACACACATATATATATATATTAAGCTTTCTCCATATTAAGAGATTGAAGATAAATCTCATCACTATCTTCTGTCTGACCTGATTATAAGTAATATTTACAGATATTCATTTTTCCGTATTTTGTCAAAATTATAGTTGTGTGTGTATTTGTGAAGGCCTCTGTACGTGAAATTTTCGAAAACTTTCTTTGACTTGGCAGTCATTCAAATATTAAAGTTCCAAACGCCAGCAACAGATATTTTGTCGCTTTGAACCTGACGAAAGTAAACAGTACCGACAGTTATTTCCCATGCAGCAAATGCCAGATAGTCATGTCTTCGAATGTTATTTACTTACTGTAAGTGCAGTAGTAATTCTATTTTTCTAACATACTGATATCAACGTCACTTTTTTTGGTGGATAGAGAGGAAAAAGGTGTCACGTTTAAACTTCTCTCTACTCTCTCGCAAATCCTGAACATTTTAAAATTCATTCATGGTTCTCTCTTGGTTCAAGAGAAGACTTATTATTGCAATTCATCAGTGGATCAGAAGGAATTTTCAAAACAAAACCGTGCGGATGGAATTTATACTAAAGAAAATCTTTGAAATCCCTTGGCTTGTTGATGTTTGTTGCATGAGGTGTCATTATAAGTTCACGATTATAATCGAAAAACAAATAAAAACACCTAATTATGATCAAAACATTATATATATATATATATATATATATATATATATATATATATGCTTGTGAAAATTAATTGAAATAATCGCTTTAGTTTCCTTTCTTTCAACATACGGTCAGTTTTAGACCCACTAGAGTGACAGGGTGTAATTGATTTCTATTTTTTCCTCAGATTAGGTCATTTGCAGTGGTGTGCAGTAATATGAAGCTATTTTCGGTGTGTATGATGAAATTGGTTTGGCCTTGAAATTCGTGATTGCATCAAATTTTCATCACGCCCAGACACTATGCTCTCGACTGTCGATTAGTTGTCATACGGCTATTGTCCGTGATGGATGTTTCTCCAAAGAAGCTTACGAAAATTATAACGCTGCACGAACACACTGGCAAGCCTTACCAGTGAGCAAATCAAAGTACTATAACCTGACCTGGAAACATTCCTGATTTAAATCCAATCGAGAATCGGTGGTCAATCTGCAAGGAATGAATCTGTGGTATGGACCTACGAAGTACAAACATGTGCACTGGACCATTTTTCATTGGAAAAATACGAAAAAAAAAGTAAATAATAACGAAATTATTCGTTTTGTTTCAATTAATTTGCACTAGTGTTTAATCATAATTCTGGTGTAGATATAAACTCTAACAATTTTTATTTAAAATACATTTGTGAAAGTACATTAAAGTGAACATATTAATCAACACAGGGATGATTAACTTCATATCATTTTTTTTTATCCAGATATAATATTGTTGTAATGGAAACCGACCATTTTTCCAGTATCCACAACATGAATATTGTTTTCTTAACACTAATATTTAGTGATGAATGTAAAACTACATTAGATGGACATGATAAATGGACGTTAGACGTGGAAGAGCTGAAATCTTTTTAACATTACTAACATTTTTAAGTCCGTTTGTTCTTGGATGGTTTACTTGGTTGGACTGTGAACTTTACAACACTTCCTCCTCTCTCCACATCTCTCTTTCTCCTTCACTCACACGCAAACACTAACACGCACGCATATACACACGCACACAAATATATACACGTTGGTATATATATATATATATATATATATATATATATATATATATATAAAGTATATTGAATTATAGACTTTAGAGGAGGTTGTGGAATTTTTCGAAAGCTGACAAATCAAAGAACCAGTCGTTCATTTCTAATATTGACCTGCCAGATGTGTTTGTCATGTGGCTGTTCTAATTCCGTTCCAATTTCTTCGTCGTCGTTGTCCTCGTCTGTGATTGGACAAAAAGGAAATAGGAACTGAAGTGAATATACTAAGAGCGCAGTTATTCTATGTAAAAAATAAAGAAGTCAAGTTTATTTTGGTCGCTTTGAGAAAGTTAATTAATGCCGTCTTCTTTTGCAATTTGTTGTGGTTACTTTTTTTTTATTTAACCATTTTCTTTTCAATTATTCTCTCATTGTTCTTGGGATTCGTGGCATTATTTTGACTTCCGATTCTTCTTCTTCCATTTATGCTTCTTCGGTATGATCTTTCTTCTTCAACTCTACTTTTATTGTACATTGTCAGATTTACATTTTCTACGTGGATCATCATCTTGTTTTCATTTTCAAGTTCATTCTTTTCTTTAACCTCTTTCTTTGCTTCGGTATCAGTTCTTCTTCATTAAATCCTTCTTTTGTTTTATAAATTCTTATTCATTCTCTTCATCTTCTATTTCATAATATTACTGTTCTTCATTTCAGCATCTACTACTCCTTTCTTCTTCTTCTTCTTCTTCTTCTTCTTCTTCTTCTTCTTCTTCTTCGACTTCTCCCCCTACTACTACTACTGCTACTACTGCTTCTTCTTTTACTACCACTGCTGCTACTTCTTCTGCTACTACTGTTACTTCTTCTTTTTCTTCTTCTTTTTCTTCTTCTTCTTCTTCTTCTTCTTCTACTACTGCTACTTCTTCTTCTTCTACTACTACTACTTCTTCTTCTACTACTGCTACTTTTCTTCTACTAATACTACTATTGCTACTTCTTCTTCAACTACTACTACTTCTTCTACTACTACTTCTGCTACTTCTGGTACTACTTCTACGACTTCTTCTACTACTTCTACTTCTTCTTCTTCTACTACTACTACTACTACTACTTCTACTTCTTACTCTTTTACTACTACTACTACTACTTCTTCTTCTTCTACTGCTACTTCTTCTTTTTCTTCTACTTCTTCTTCTGCTATTACTACTTCTTCTACTACTTCGGCTACTTCTTCTACTACTACTGATACTTCTTGTACTACTTGTACGACTTATTCTTCTACTACTGCTTCTTCTTCTTCTTCTTCTTCTTCTTCTTCTTGATCTGATTCTAATTCATTCTCGGATTCTTCTATTTTTGTTTTGGTAAAATTTAGCGAATTCTTATCTTTGACGAAATTCCTCTTTTTTTCTTCAAGTCTTCAAATTCTTCTTCAGATTCTTCTACTTTTATAAAGTCTTATTCTTTCCCTTTTCTTCTCTTTCTTCCTAAAATTACGTTTCTTCTTCAAATTCGTTCTTTCTGCATTTCAAAACATCATCAAATCCTTCTTCAAATTCGAATTCTACTTTTGATGTTTTTTCGCAATGACATCACATCTTTCTTCATATAATTCTTCGTCTTTCCTTCAAATGTTTGAACATCATCAAAATTCTTCTTCATCAAATTATTCTCTTTCCTTCAAATTCCCTCAACGTCATCAAATTCTTTTTCTGTGCGAAATTCTTCCCTTCAAATTTTTGACTCATCTTCAAATTGCTTCTTGATCAAATTTGGTTTTAAAATGTTAAAATTTTTCAAAACATTCTTCAAATATTTTTTCACCCTAGAATTAATCTTCAGATTCCTGTCATTCAAATTATTGTTCTTAATATTTTTCTTAAATTAACCTTCTTCTTCTCTTCAAATTCTTGACCCATCTTCAAATTGCTTCTTGATCAAATTCACCATTTTCAAATTGTACTTTATTTCCTTCTTAAAATTCCTTTTTACATATATCGAATTGTTGTTGTTGATGTTGTTGTTGTTGTTGTTCTTGTTGTTGTTCTTCTTCATTGCCTCTAATTCTCCTTTTCCTAGTTGTTTTTTTAAAATGTTTCTTCTTCAAAATATTCTTCAAATACTTTTTTCATCCTAGAGTTAATCTTCAGATTCCTGTCATTCAAATTATTGTTCTTAATATATTTCTTAAATTAACCTTCTTCAACTTCATTATTAAATTCTTTTACATATACTTTAAATTTATTTTATTGGAATTACTCTTCTTTAAATGCCCTCTTAGAAAATTCATTTTCATTTTCTTTTCTTTTTCGTTACACCCTTTTTTATCAAATTAATCTTCTTCGTTGTTTTATTCTTTAAATATCTTCTTCCTCATTCACACGAATATTTTCTATTTCATTTGTGTCAAAACATTTTGAATTTGCTTCATTTACTTCTGTGGTGTCTTTTAAAACATTTATGTCTTTTAAAACATTTATCCCTTCAGAATTTTTATGAACCTAATATTTTAATATTTTCCGTTATTCCGGTTATTTATGAATATTTAGATGATAAAAGGTTTAATAATTGTTTAATGTTTACCAGTTTTACAGTATGCGATGGATATATTGTCGTCGAATTATGCAAAGATGAAAATAACACTGACGTCTCATGTTAACAGATATATTTACCAAAATTGCACAAAAATATCTTGAAATACTAAAGAGTAAAACGATTCAATAAAATCGCCATTTTATTTGGCAAAGTTCTTTGGTTGGTATTCTGTAGCGTCAATCCACGAGGCTCGAAGAAATGTGGACTTTCGTTTCCAAAGCAATTTTTAACCATTGATAGGATAAGATTCGGAATCTACTACAACTCTTCTGGACGGTGTCCTTATTTATTTTGGTGAATGATGCCATAATCCTTGCTATCAGTTCATCTTCGGTTTTACGAGCAGTTTTGTTGGTCTCTCATTCAACTGCGCACCACACATAATAATCAAGGGAGTTGCAATCTGGGGAGTTAGGTGGCCAGATGTAAGGGGTGACGGGGTCACAGAAATTGTCTGACAGCCATGACTGAGTTCTCCTGCTCGTGTTAAATGGTGCAGAGTCTTTTTGACACAAGACTGCGCTACCTCCACAAGGAACCGGATGTAGATCTCCATGTTGAGTATTAAGCCCTCAACAATATATTCGGGACTTCTTTTCTCATTATAACAATCAGATTGAGTTTTCTGAGCTGATGTACGTTCGTAATCAACATTAGACTCATCCAGCTCTTTCCGAATCTTCTGCGCTGTTCTCAGATTGATAGGCAAACACCCTGAAACGTTCCTATTGGAGCTTCTGGAGCATCATTAAAAATATAAAATGGCGATAATTTACCGATCGCAACCTGTATATTAATCTGACTATTTTTGCTTTTCCATCCTAAACACGTGATTCTAGTCACCCCACCCATATCATTTACACGAGGCGCATATCAAAGTCTGCAACTTTGTCGTCTTAAAACATTTTTCTTTATGGAACTTACACTTTTCAAACAGACTGAAAAAAAGGATTACCACCAGGTACCTCGACATGTTCAATATTATTTAATAGAATGTCCAAAATCTTTTCCTGTTTAAAGGCAATTTTAGCATCGAAAAAAAGAGAGGGAAAAAATTCGCATAGAACGAGTTCTCCATTGTGACGGCCCTGGGAAAACAGCAATATAAGATTTTCTTCTAGAATCGGAAATATTAAAAATGAATTTGTCTAAATAATCAATGGCCGACAGTTCATTAAATCTCCAAATCTAATTCTGGAGTTGCCAATCACGGATATCCGTTCAGTGTAGATGGCCTGCTTCAATATATTCTACAATTGGAATGTATTAAATATTTATAATAATTATAAAATATTTACTTTAGTCGTTTTCCGGTGCTGTCAACTTGACGAAACCTTTCTAGAATTTACGTAATTTATATGATTCCTATATATTTAAATTTAAAATATTACTTTTCCAAATGAGTGCGGGTGTAGGCAAGAACATATTTGCCTAGGATACTGACAATATTTAATATATAATCGTATTATATCAATGGTTAAAAATTGCTTTGAGAGAAGGAAATGAAGTCCATATTT